CACCTTGGACTCTGGCTGGAGCCAGCATCACTCCTGATGCCAAGTCTTGAGCTATGTGAATACATGGCCACGAACCCCATGAGGAAAGCCTGTGAGGGAGGGCAATGTGGTTTCCTACATGTACTTACACATGCATTTAAACACGCTCAGAAGAACATTAACCGGAAGGTGAAACGCACTCGGGTGAACTCTCAGCGCCCTTGCTGGGAGAACATTAGCCTATGTGTCTGCACTGCCTGGGCTGTGGCCACGAACCCCATGAGGAAAGCCTGTGAGGGAGGGCAATGTGGTTTCCTACATGTACTTACACACGCATTTAAACACGCTCAGAAGAACATTAACCGGAAGGTGAAATGCACTTGGGTGAACTCTCAGCGCCCTTGCTGGGAGAACATTAGCCTATGTGTCTGCACTGCCTGGGCTGCCCTGAGGCCTGTTCTGGTACATAAACCCCCAGGCAAAGAGCAGCACAGCAGGGCTTCTATTCTGGGTGGCCTGGTTTCTCCCAGGAGGGGCTCTTATAGATAGAGCCTTGGGATCCCTCTCGCCTGGCCCCAGCCCAGCACAGAGCACATCACCCACTAGCATACTCTGGCCAAGATCTGGCTGTACAACCCAAGGACGCTGTGAACTGGGCGCTGTTCCAGCACTCCATGCTGCCCATGCCTGACGGCTCACCATCGTGCCACACTTCCATTCCATCCATGCCCTGCCCACACCCACAGTCCTCTCCCTGTTCTTCCTCCCTCTATCCTTTCCAAAGGCCCAAGTCGGCACTGAGACTCAAAGATGTGGTGAACACAGTCCCTGCCCACAGGGAGCTCCCAAGCTGCAGGGACGCAGGCGCTATGAGGTAGAAACCTGCTTTCTGGAGCTTGCAGCCAACAACAATGGAGGGCAGGGGACAGAGGCAGCCACCAGAGCATAGGGGAGGCAGAGCCCAACAATCCTCCCTGGGTTCTCAGCTCATGATGGGCTGTCCAGCATATGGGATGCTCTCATTGAGGACTAAGTGGTGGGAGCAGTCAGTAGATAGGGGTGGGGGGTACCCCAGGCCTGGGGAGGAGTGTGAGCAGACAGGGCTCTGGCCACCCTCCCCGTGTCTTGATTCCCAATTGCCTGTGCCCAGGAGAAGGACCCTGGCACACTGCTCAATTCTCCACAGGAAGGAGAGTGGCGGGCCAGCCTGGAGGGCAGCCCTAAAGCTGGATAGGTAGCAGGCGCTCATGAGCTTGACTCAGATGAACAAGGGAGGCTGGCCATCTTGATGGGCCCCAGGCATTGGTATGTGCTACCCTGCACACAGATGAACCCAGTGTGAGGGCCACCAGCTTGCTAGTTCGTCACTAGTTCTCGAGGACAAGGTCTGACTCCTGATCTTCTCCCCTCCCCTCTCAGCAGAAGCACAGGCCCCCAAGCAGCACCCGGCATGCATCAGCAGAGCCTCGCTCAGAGAGCACCCAGGTCCTGACTCTGCTGCTGGCTTGCTGTGGGGCCCTGGGCGAGGCCCTGCCCCTCAGGGCCTTAGTTTCCTTACCTGTGATAAGTAACAATAATAAGAGCCCACATATATTGAAATTGTCTTTTAATATCTTTGCACTTATGAAATAGGTGCTATGATTATGTCCATTTTACTGACGCAGCAGAGAGGTTGACTTGCTCAAGGTCACACAGATAGAAGTAGAGCTGGACTTCTAGCCCAAGCAGCCAGGCCCCCTCTGTGCTCTTATTATGGTGTAACAAAGAGACAGCAGGGAAACAAGGGTGCTGGTTCCCACGGTGCCAAAGGGCCCATTTGTGCTGGGCTTTGCCACACGTAGCCCCTGAAGCCATCTTGTAAACCTATGTTGCTTCCTACAATTGTGGGAACAATGTGACGTTTTCTCTCACTCTAGTGCTTTCCACCACTGTTGAGGCAGGACAACAGTGGGTTCAGAGCACAGCCCTGCAGGACAGCTTCCTGTGTAGAGGGGCACAGGCATCTCAAACCCACAGCCCATCAGCAACCAGTGGTGGTGCTGGATCGGTGTAAGAGTAGCCATCCCTCACCAGGCCAATGAGGAGACTGTTATCGTTAATGTGTCTGCTATTCAGATGAGAAAACCAAAGCCAAAGAAGCCCCAGAGTACTTTTTCTCAGCTCATTATTATACAGTAATTCTTAGGATCCTTATTTAGCATTCAAACCCCTTTCTAGACTGAAAGCTTCACAGGGGACCATGTCTGGGATTCTAGGGACTAGCTGAACACTTGGCACATGAATGAATGAATGAATGAATGGATAAATTCAACAGTGAACTGCAATCACATAGCTAGTAAGACTCAGGCCTTTCAGAGCCCTTTCTACTCCCTAATCAATTCTGGTCATACTGAAAGAAAGAATTCTTTGTTGAGAGAAAAGGGAAAAGCCCATCCAGGAGGCAGCCCCTTCTTTTTTTTTTTTTTTTTAAATCATTTTCCCCAAATGGGTCTCTCTCTCTCCAGGGAGGGATTACTGGTCCATTTTGCAATTGAAGGGACCCGAAGAGGCAGGAGTGACTGTACAGAGGTTACATGGAGAGCTAGAGCTGAGAACTTCATACTCCCAATCGCTGCCTGGGCCAGATCCACATGCCTCAGGCCAGGGTTTGTGCTGGTGTCTGGGCAGCAGGGTTACTCAGAAGGGCTGAGCCCCACGGTTTTGTTTCTCAGCCAGGAGCCTCGACTGACCCTGGCCAACCCCTCTCATGCATCCGGCTCCATCTAATCAAAGCCAGTCTGCGTGCTTTTCCCCCTATTCAGGGGGGAGGCTCCAAAGAGCTAGACAGGCATTAGGAAGAGTCAGGTGGCAAGAGGAATCTAATTTGCCAAATGGCTCTGGATCCATTGGCCCTTTCAGGAGCCACAGGAATCAGATGTCACTTACGTGCAAAACAAGCTCAATCTTAGCAACCTCCAACATGCTGATTTTGAGCTATAACGATCATTACTGTGGTTGACACTAATGGTGGGCAACTGTCACAATAACAGACTAAGGTTCAGAGAGGCAGGCAACCTGCCCAGTCACCCAGGTCCCTCTCTCCCCCAAAGAGTATCAATGAGTGTTCAGCCCACATCCTGTATGCTTGCCCTGTCCTCTTTAGACTTTCCATTCAGCCTTGGGAATGCTGCTGCTTGTCTTTTGGGAGGCATCTAAGAAGTTAACCATTATTTTTTAGATTGGTTTCATTGCCCAGATTTAAAAATTTGGAGATTGCATATAAAAATCCCAACCAGAGAAGAAACTTCTTTAATCCATGTGCTGGTTAATGCAGATAGGTGTGGAGAATCCCAAATCTGTATTCTGGTTAAGTCTAGATTCCTGGCTCCACTTAAAAATCAGGATCTGGCCATCCGGGGCCTTTGGGCGGGGTGAGCCACATATGCCCAAGGTAGGTCCTACCCAACACTAGCCACTGCATAATTCATTTGATGCCCAGCCCCTGGAAGTATCTGTGTTCCCACAGAAAGTCTCCACTCTACCCTCCAGCACCATTTTCCCACCTCTGCTTAACCAGCTCTGCCATGGCTGCCCTCTATATGAAATCCAAACTCCTGCTCACAGCCCACCAGACCCAATTGACCTGGCCTCTCCAGCCCCCCTCATCCTGGGCTCCTCTCCCCTTTGCTCACTGTGCTCCACCATCCTGCCCTCTGTTCTGCTTGTCACATGTGACTTGCCCATTCCCACCTCAGGGCCTTTGCGCACGTCCTGCCTGGTGCACTCCCTCCCATACCTCCATGCAGCTCTTTCTCATCATTTGGTTTCAGCTCAGATGGGGCTTCCTCACAGAGGCCTTCAGCTCCAGCCACTCTCTATGCCACTACACCGTTTCTTTCCTTAAGAGTTTTATCACCTTCTGAGAAGTGAGCCCCACAGCTAGTGAGTCTGGGCTCAAATCCTGACTCTCCCACTTGCCCAACTTGACTGGGTGTGAGCTCCCTCACCTATCCACGGGCCGCAATTCAGCCCCTTGCCAGGCTGCCAAGGGTGGAATGAGGTGGTCTGCAGGCGGTGCACAGGCTTGCATCCAGCTCAGAGGAAGCGCAAGGCCCTGTGTCATCACCTCCCCTGACCCCACTCCTCCTCAGTACAGCAAGTGCTTACAGGCCAAACAGGGATCGTACTGACCGTCCTTCCTGCCCACCCTCCTTTCCACCAGGGGCCTCACGGCTTCACCTGGAGCTGGAGAAAAAGCACTCTTCAAAGAAACAGAGCACATAAGTCCCTGAAAAAGAGACTCGGGCCACCCCAGCCTCGGGGACTTTACTACTTGTTCAGAGCAGATGCCCTGTGAGGAAAAAGCACTCTTCAAAGAAACAGAGCACATAAGTCCCTGAAAGAGAGACTCGGGCCACCCCAGCCTCGGGGACTTTACTACTTGTTCAGAGCAGATGCCCTGTGAAATCCTGTCTCCTGGATGAAAGCAGGACTCCCTCCCCACCCACTCACTCCCTTCTCCCCATAAATCTGCTTCTTATACAACCCCATTTGGGCTCAGAGTCCTCACTTATGCAGTTTGCCTCCATCTTGGGCAGCTTGACCCCATGGCGCAAAGCTGGGAGGTCTCACAAGGAGCAAATGAGCCACCTGTGTGGCGTCTGGACAATATGACTGGAGCAAGTGCCCAGCAGCCAGGGAGCTCGGTCTTTATGTCCTTCTGGGGACACTGCAGTGCTTGGGATTAGCAGGCCCATCTTGTCTTTGAGGAAACTGCCAAAACAAACACTAAGAATTCTAATGAGTCCATTAAGTGTTTCTGCTTTATTATCTGAGTTCTGTAGCTTTTAAATGTTTTTGCCTTTACTTTCTCAGAAACTGTTTTCTAATCAAAACCATGCCTGGGCCTCTAGAGTCCCACTGTACAGCATTCTGTTAGTGGCACTGGATGCCAGGTACTCCCTACCCAGGGTCTTGTTCCACCCTCTCAACACAGTGTCCCCTGTTCTGTGACAGGCCTGGTCAGCACAGGCCATACTCACCATTGGAGCGGTGGATGCAGGTATGCTGGTTGTCACTGAGGAAAAAGCCACTATGGCACTGACACTCGTAGCTGCCCATGGCATTGACACAGATCTGCTGGCAGCCACCATTGTTGTCCTGACACTCGTCCACATCTACAAGAAGAGGAAGAGAAAGGGAGAGGAAAAATCACACCTGGAGCTAGATGCGGGAGTGATGGGATGGTGGGACACAGATGCAATCAATCTCCTCAGACTGCACGGAACGGGCTCCGTGGCACTGCACCATGGTGGAACTCCACAGAGGCACTCCAGGGACATACTCCATGGTGGCACTCCACAGAGGCACTCCAGGGCCATACTCCATGGTGGTACTCCACAGAGGCACTCCAGGAACATACTCCATGGTGGCACTCCATAGAGGTACTCCAGGGACATACTCCATGGTGGCACTCCACAGAGCCACTCCATGGCGCTGCACCAGGGTGGTACTCTACAGTGGTTCTCTACTGAGGAACTACATGGCAGTATTCTTTGATGGCACTCCATGTGCTGCACACAGTGCTACATTATGGCGGTACTCCATGGACACACTCCATGGTGGTACTCCACAGAAATACTCCATGACACTACACTGTAGTGGTACTCTATAGTGGTACTCAATGGAGGTACTACATGGTGGTACTCTGTGGTGGCACTCCACAGTGCTACACTTCAGTGGTACTTTACAGTGATATGCCATGGAAATACTCCATGGTGGTACTCCGTGGTGCTACTCCACAACAGAACTCCCCAGAGTGACTTCACAGTAATAGCCTGTTACAGTGGCTATACTAGCTGACCCTCACTGAGTGCATCCTGTATGCCCAGCACTGTTCTAAGCATCTTACTTATATTAACTCCTTTAATCCTCATAGGAACCCTGTAAGTCAGATACAGGTATTAGCCCATTTTATAGATGATGAAACTGAGGTCAGACAGGCAAAGTCACTTGTCCAAGGTCCCACATATAATAAGTGGCACAGGCAGGATCCCAAACCTGGGCTCTCACTGATGCTGCTAGAATCCCCCTCTCTAGGAACACAGTGCAGCCTGCACCATCTCCCCGCAACACAAGGAAACTTGCCACCCCCACCCACCATTCTCTTTCTTCAGTCATACCTCAGGTTTACAACTGGCAGCTCAAGACCTTGGAGCTAGGGAGAGGCTGGAGGACACGGCAGCCTGCTACCCCCTGTGCCCCGCAAATTGATTTCAAAAGCCCAGAGAATGAGGAGGTTTTTAAAAGGCCCTGACCCTGGCTGCCAAGACTGCGGCGGAAGGCTGCCAAGTGGTCTTTCCCACTCTCCAGGAGAGACAGACCTCAGGGCTGACACTCATTTTGACCAGAGGCCACTGGCACAAAGGGTGGTGTTGGCTGAAAAGAGTCTTTATGGAGTTCTGGTCTTGAACAGAACAGCATGTTTCAATTACCAAAGTCATAACCCCCCACTCTGTCAGTTTGTTTAATGAAAGAAGGGCTTCTTAAACCTTAATGTTCCATGTCTGTATTGTCATTTTAATAGGCAAATATAGAAAACCACAAAAGCAAAGTGAGCTACTGGCTGCTTCTAGCCAATCCCCAGCCCCCAACACACACACACACACACACACACACACACACACACACACTCTCTCTCTCTCTCTCTCTCACACACACACGCACACACACACACACACACACACACACTCTCTCTCTCTCTCTCTCTCTTGGCATTGAGCTTTTTATACAGTTATTTTCAACAGACTTCTTTTACTATTGGGACCAAAAGGATGTGGAAAGGTAAAGAGTCAGGCAGAGTGACCTGCACTGAACTGTGAGAGGACTCAGCTCTGGAACAATTTCAGCTGGGTCCTATTTAAGCTCACGGACAACAGACCACTTTACCACCCAAGAGACCTTGCAGCTGCCTTTGAGGCTGATGGTGAGGCGGGTCATTTATTTTCTGGCAAGCTCAAATGTCAACCGTGTGGCAGCCAGAGGAGGGAGGCAGAGCTCTGAACTCTAAAAGCCACCAACAGTTATAGCAAAAAAGGGAAAGGTGGCTCTTGCTGAGAGGAGCCGCATGAGCATACCACGAGCCTGAGATCTGACCCAGGGAAGCCTGGGAAGGACAGAGAGGGGTTATTCTGAATACCTTTCTCCAGTCAACGAAGTCTTGCTGATGGCTCCCTAAAGGGCCAGTGCCAATATCACCTTTACTGGGGACAGTCCCAAAGTATGGCGAGTGCCTGCCTTCTGCGTCTGTCTGCACTGGACTATGACCAGCTCCAAGCTAGGCACCATATCCTGCTCATCCAATTAGCCACACAAAGCTAACATCTCTTGAGTATTTATTATGTGTCAGTTGCGAGGCCTCACTAGGTCCTCAAAGCAACCTGCATGAAATAGGTCATATTACTGACTCCATTTTATAGATGAGAACACTAAGGCATGAGAGAGCTGCAGTAACTTAAGCAACATCACACAGTGGGTCAGAGCAAAGGCAGGACTCAAACCCTCTGTCCAGCTCCAGAGCATGTGCCTATGGCCCTCCTGCCAAACTGGCTGTGCCACCAAGTGCGTCCAGACTAATGTTATGAAGAACCAGCTACTCCTAACATGTGCTCGAGTCCGAGTGTTCATGTGAGCACATGCTCATGAACCCTAGATGCGGCTCGCCATGAGAAGCACTAAGAATGACCTAGCATCCATGTGGTTAGTTCCATCTCTGGCCCAACACCACCTGTAGAGGTGTCTATGCCCATGTTCTCGCACACACAAAATCATGAGATTGAAACACAGACAGCTGTTCCTGGACTCAGGCCAGCCCCCTCTCAAGGCACAGTCACTGCCTTCTTTGCTCTGTACTCCGGCATCCCCAGCCCTAGGAAGAAGGGTTTAGCTGTAAAGCAAATGAAACAGATATAGACCCTCAAATGCTGAAATCATGGTGCAGAAATGCTACTCCCTCCCCGCCATGAATAAGATCTCCGGTGCCACCCATCTGCAGCCATCTGGCCTGGCCCAGCTCTTTACCTCACTGAAAGCTAGGAACTAAAGGGCAGTTGACGTAACCATCTACAAACCCTCAATGACCTGGCAGCGTGGCTGGGCCTTGGGACAGGGCTGTTTACACTAACAGGGAACAATGACTCGCCAACACTGATGAATAATTTGAAACAAATGCAAGGCCATGTAAACATTTCTTTTCCCCACTCTCAAATGATAAAGCCCTAAGATTAAGCAGGCGGGAAGAGAGGGCTGACCCTCTGCACCCTTTTTCCACTGTGGTCCAAACACAAGCCTCAACCCCCGCCCTAAGCAGGGCAGGAAATCATGGCTGCAGAACTTCTTTGGGCAGCCTGAGGCCATTATCAACTTCTTCAAGGGTAGGGTTAAGGGCCTAAGGCCCCTCTCATACCCGCTTCCACCCTTGTGTCTCCAGGCCTCCAAATGGGACCCACAGTGAGGTATGAAGAGTGACCAGTTGAAGCAGTTGGGCCCATGAGATGGCTGCCCACAGGCTCAGGATAGACAGAGTTCATCTGCAGGACGTCACCAGGCCTGGCATGGCACCCTGGGAAATAGCCCCTCGGTCCTCTCTGAGGGGTGGGGCAAGCCCAGCATTCTGCTCCATGGTCCTGCAGCACTTGGCACATTCTGTTATGAGAGGTGCCCTCATGGCAAGAAGGGAGCATCCACTTGGGAGTCAAGCTCCCTGAGTTCTGTGCCTGCAGCCTGTGGGCGGTCCCAGACCTTGTCCACAAGAAGTGCCAGAGCTTCAGGGACTGCAAACTACGATCTCCAGGAAGCCTTCTTGGAGTGCTTGTGGCATGTGCAAGCCCGTTCCTTCTCTGCCCCATGGAAGCAACCGGTTTTGCACTAACGGGCCTGTGCAGTTGGTCCCTGTGTGGGAATCCCACCACACCCCGTGCCCACCCATAGAGGTGAACATCAAGGCTGGCTGGGTGGGGCTGGCAGCCTTATTGTCATAAATAACAGCACTCACTGCCGGCAAAGCCCCAGCTCAGGTGCTCAGGCACTATCTTAATAAATCCACATGACAGCTCCACATAGGGGATATAATTCATATCCTCCCTGATTCTCAGATGAGAAAACTGAGGCCCAGAGAGGGGACGAGAATTGCTCAAAGCTATAGAAGAGGCAGAAGGGGGATTTAAAGCCCAATGAGTCCAGCTCTTATCCCTGCTCTTCCAGGATTTGATTATAAGGAGGACACTTCGAGCCCAATCATGGCAGTAAGAATAAGCTACCCAGGTATTCATGTTTACAAACCTTCCCTGACTCTGCACACCCATCTCTCCAAACCCAGTGCAAAAGTCCCTTCCTCTGTGAAGTCCTCCCGGTGCCCAGGAGAATTCACTCCTCCCCTGCCTTCCACATCAGGCCTGCCTTTGTTTGCTAAGTAATTCCTCTGCCCTGGACCACAGGGCTTGGCTGTCCTGTCCCTGCTCTGGATGGGGACAGAGCTGCTCCTTGCAGAGGGTTGGGCCACGAGTGGGTATGCTTATGTATCAGCAGGATGGCACTTTTTGTGCTTGCACATGCCTGTGCCAGGGACTCACTACCCCCCAAGGAGGCCAGTCCACTGGAGCAGCGTATGGTCCTGGTTCTTCCCGGGCACACGGAGAGGGCTCACTCGGGGTTCTCCACAGACTTTCCACCTCCCCACCACTCTCCAGTAGTCCCCCCACTTCTACAGCTGTGAATCCATCCCACTTGTTCACACTTGCCTGCATGTGCACATGCACACCCTCCCCTTGCTTGTCCAGAATGAAGTTCTTCTTGCCCTTCTGAATCCACCTGAAATGTCTTTGTTCATTCATTTACTACAAACACCAAGCACCGGAGTATGTGCTATATACTCTGTGAGCTGCCAGGGACACCAAAGTGAGCATGGATGATTAAGTCCCTCCCCTCACCAAGCTGCCAGTGCATTGGACCACAGCACAGAGATGGGAGGCTTCCTGGAGGAGAGGATGTGGTAGCTGGGCTGAGGAGAGCAGGGAGATTTGTGACCTGAGGCTGGAGGAGGAGGAAGTGTTCAGAAATGTTGTGCTAAAAAAAAAAAAAGAAATGCTGTGCTAAGAGAGTCAGGGCTTGGGTCTGGAGG